GTGCTGTCCTGGTGAGGATGTGTTGACCCTTGGCAATGGTGACTTGAAGCAACGTTGTCTTGGTAATATCTCTCACTGCCATACAGTCCTCTCTCAACGCTCTGGCTTTTGTGAAGTAAGATAAGATAAGATAAGATTATACTTTGTTATCCCAAAGGGACATTATTCTTGTCTGTACAGGACCGTAAAAACACATGCAGGTATACATATAAATTTAGATTATAATGTCTCATTAAAATGCAATACGAAAAGAGAAGTAAAGCTGACAAAATGTACATATAACATCAGATGCATCATTCAACCACATGCAGGAATTAAATTACAAGATCTTTAAAGTTATATATAGATACATACTCGAAAGAGAAATACACACTGAAGGTTATTCTGACAATAGCCTTACGTTAGATGGTAAACACTTCTTTTATAAGTGCAGGGTAGAATGGATAGCTTTCCCTTCCACACGATTCTCCATCTACCACCATTTCAACATCTGCTTGTGTTGTCTTGTGTTGAAATGTCACATTTTGTTCTGGGGGAGTTTCTTGTTGGGTTGGGTTTTTAAAAACCAATGTCCAAGTATTCACAGCGGTACAATATTTGTGTATTTCCTTGTAACCGCTATGTCAGTGGGAACTGCCTGAACTTATTTGTACTACTTTAGAAATTCAGAAACAGAGATTATACATAAGGGAAAGCTAGAGCTGCAATATTTCTAAACTTTTCTCCTACCTAAGCACTCTGTCAAAAGTCTACTTAAAATAACTAAAATGCAGAAATATTTGGGCCACCTTAAACTGCAAGTGAAAGAATCCTATAATGAGAGAGAGAGAAGGTGGCTGCATGCTTGTCCAAAAGAACATCTCTGGATTCTTTGTTCCTGCCTACTTTGAAAATGTGTATATCGTTTTAGAGCTTGAAAAAATACTTATCTGTCTTGAACAGCCGAGATATCTGCAAATAAAGAGGTGGGGGTCACATGGTGTCAGAGGTAAGATTAGCAAGAAGTCGGGTGACTTCCAAAGCTTGAATGGCCTTTGAAACTGTCTATTACAAATTTTGTTGCTCTGATCAAAGTCTTTCAGTAAAATCCACACAGAAATGTGACCATAAAAAGACGTAAAAGGTGCCAGTAAAAATTTGTCTTTAAACAATTGCACATAGGGCGGAAATACATGGGTTTCTTCCATTTCGTGATACTATTTTGACGACCGCTTGATTTCCTCACGACGCGACACATTATATAAAAGCTCGCTGGTGTGACTGCCGTGTCATTGATCCGCCAGCTTACGTATTCTTCGTTAATAAGTTATGGCTTACAGTGGGCGTGTACTCGCCAGCTCCAAAGACACAGCTGTGTCAGGGAAATTCAGAGGTGTTGCGACGTGGAGGAATCAGGCGCTCGTCAATTTTGGGGCATATGGAATCATTGGTATCATTTTAAAGCTTGTTCGTTATATATTCGCTTGCCTCTGAAGAACAAAGAGTATCCTTTTGTCTCGAATAGAAGTCGAGATATTGGTAACGAAGCAGGTTGGGATCGCCGGGTGTCTTAGGTAACATAAGTGAAAAGATGGCCGACAACGTATGGTGGCTTCCACAGCTTTAATATTCGCAGAAACTACAAACGTGCGATTTTCAGGTTTGATCAAGGTTGTTTTTTTTTAAAAGACATTCACACACAGAAATCATGTGTTTTGAAATTATGGGAATACATCTAGAGAGTATTGAGCCAAAATGTTTTGAAAAAGGTACAAATAATTGTCCAATGCTGGCATGAATTCTTCGATTTCATTATATTCCGACTAGCGCCTGATTTCACCACGACCTGACACAAATGCGATTGGTCCGCGCGCAATGTCCTTGCTCAGTTAATTATCTGATGGTTCCAGCAGCTGCAAAAGCTATCAGCTGATTGTATAAACCCTAAATTGAGGCAAGAACCACAATAATCATAATGATAATAATAA